GACCCCAGGCTGACCCATTTCAAATGGGCTTAGGGGAACCTCAGAGGGTGTTGAGCTCTGCAGTGTGGTTATGGCCCCTGGGTGAGAAGGAAGAGGTTGAGGGAGGTGCATATGCTCAAAACTGCTTCAGAGATTCCTTAACTAAAGGAGCAGAAGTCACTTTCTGTTTGCGGGCCCAAAAAGGGTCATCTGTGCAGTGTGTTTTTGGTGTTTATCATGAATGTGGTGGGTGCTTCTTGCCTTCAATAGCTGCTGCCCCAGGTATTGCTTTATTGCTTTCCCAAGAACAAACATAATCTCATGGAAAAATAAATTGAAGGGATTATTGTCTTTTTTTTTTTTTTTTTTTTTTTTTTTTTTCAGAGAACAGGTGGTGGGTATGTTTAAAATGGCTTTTTCTGAAGGCTCTGATGACTTTAGGCATGAAGAAATGTTCCAGCACATCCCAGTGAAGTCATGCAAAGACCTCTTTTACTTCATACCAATGAGGACTTTAATCTGAGGCAGGGATTTGGGGACTGTAACAGTGATCAGGAGGTTCTCCTCATCCTTGTTTTCTTAGGGGTGTCAGAGGGCAGCAACTGCAATCACTGGCAGTGAGATGAGGTACAAGACCCCGGGGCGGGCGCTGGGTAAATTTTAAGGAACATATTTACTTGCAGTTGCTGCGTTAGGCAGATTTCAGTGTCATGGTATAAGAAAAAAGATTGTCAGATCCTCATTTTCCACCAAATATTCCCATGGAAGAAAGAAAAGGTTCCACTGAAAAATGGTTGTGTTATTTTTTTTGTTGTTTTTTTTTTTTTTTTTTTTTTTTTTTAATTTGTTTGTTTGTTTGAGTTTTTTTGGTGGGCGGAATGGTGATGGTGGTTATTGTTTTGAACCAAGCAAAATGTTTTGTATTCCGAGTAAAGATATTTTAATGTTTATTGTCTTTGACAAAGACAGTATTTAAAACAGGAGTATTTGATTTTTATAATCTCAAAATTAAATATTTTTCTTTTTCTGCTTCTCTCTTCTTGGGCATGAGAAATTTGTTGAAGCTGAGAAAAGTTAAGCAAAATATTCTCAGAGGTTTTTTTTAATCTGCATTTTTAGTCTAAAAATGTAAAGTCTGTGATTCCTACTGAAGTTACAGGAAAGCTCACTGAGAAGACTGAAGCTGTAGAGTGAAATATGACTGTATGTCTCAGGGCATGTGCTTAAGCCAATAAAATACTGTCAAAGATATTGATGGTTGGAGAACTTACAGGCATATACAAATCAGACAAGAACACAGGTCATGATATGGCTAGATGGGTCATAATTTACTAATTTTTAAAAGTTGAATAATTTTAAATTGGATGGTTCATAAATCATTTTTTTACTTCTGCATGTTTTGCAAGAAAAAAAGAAAAGGAAAGAAAAAAGAATAGAAAAGTCTTTATAAATAAAGACCATAATTATATGGCAGAGCAATGACAATACATGGGTGGGATTCCCAAATGTGCATCGGAATAACAACGAGTACTTCGGAAAATTGCATCCTTAGAAGCCAGCGAGTGCATATCTGCATAATGGATTAACATTTATTAGTCCGATTTGTGTACACGGTGATGTGCGGATGTAACTTTTTAATTAAAATTGTTGCATTACAAGCAAGAATGGCTTTGACTTCTTGGTGGAACCGAAGTTTATTTGCTTCTGCACTGGGAACTGGGAGGTTTCAAACAGAGGAGCAGATTATGAACAGCAAACACTGATAAAATACATCTGGGTGAGCAACTGTTTTGTGCCATGTTATTTGAAAATACTGGAGTATATGAACTATGTGAATATACAACCTAATGCCTTCTTTTTTTTTTTTTTTTTTTTTTTTTTTTTGTAAAGCTAGTAATCTATAGGCTTTCTGAATCCTTTGCCATAAAGAAGCGTCGATGCTGCTTTGGGATTTGAGGCTGATGCCTGCCCCAGTGTCCCACGAGCTCGTGGTCCCCCTTTGGCCCTGCTCCCCACCTTGGAAATGGGATCGTGTCGCGGCTGCGGCAGCAGCTGCTCTGAAGGTCTCTGCGTTGGGCAGTGATGAGGGCCTGGACACTACAGCCATGAGATGCTCCATCTCTAAGGATGGATTTGATGGTCTCAGTCTCTTAAAAGTCATTTGGGGTGACCCCAAAGCATGGCCTGGAGCTTGCGGTGGGTGAAACCGCCAACGACCTCTCTAACGAGGTTTTCAGCCTCAGACATTTGGCTTCCCTGTGCCCAGTTTTTTGATTGCTGCATTAGCATAGTGTTGGATAGTCATCTTTCTTCACAGTGCGTTCAATAAATTACAAAGCAATATTGATCAGCATGTTTTTGTGTGTATGTTGAGTTAAAGCTAAGGTAAATAATGAACCGAAGTTAAATCAGACCAGTGACATTCCTGGAGGAGATCTGTTAAGAGAGAATGTAGTTGACAGTATTACTTTTATTCCTCAGGGATTTCTACATACACTACAAAATGAGTTAATTTGTTAAAATTACTCCTCTTTCCTCTAAAACGCGCATGTAAATACATGTATATATATTTTTTTAAAAAACTGAAAAGTCTGCTTTTGCTGACAGCCAAACAACATATTGTTAAAATGCCGTATAATAAACAGAAGACAGATACATTGACATTAAGATGCAGTGGAGGGGGAAGGCTTTTGCATTCATAAAAAAGAGAAAACTCTGACAGTCTCTAAATAAACTTTGCTATATTTTTTTGTGTAAGTTACGTAACATTCCCAGTTACATAGATTCTGATAATACTTATGTTATTTAAGTTACATGTTCTTTTGACAGGGCAACTGCCTTCCACTGAAAACTTTTTGTGGCAGTGGGAGGAAGACAGAAGTCATGCTATTAATTTTTTTCTAATTAAAAATCAAACAGGGTTGTTTTTATAATTCTGATTACATAAAGGGAAATAAAGCATGCAGAAGATTTCAGTGAACATCTAAAATAGTGTTTTAAAATAATTCTCAAAGCATTTGAAATATATATGATGAAATTGTATTCTGCAGCATGCAGAAGCCGAGTGTGTGTTCCAAAATTATCCTGCAGCACATTTATATGGATGATTTAAAAAGCCCCAGAGCCAAGAGTTTAGAATAGAAGTACAGACAGATTGAGACTGGTAAATATAGCAGTGCTAATAGCGTCTCTCTCGCATGCACTCCGAATGTTGTAGATGTGGAGTTTGGCGTATTTGCTTTATCCCAGAGCAGCAAAACCATGTGAGAGTTATGCAGGTCACCTGGCAAGAGGGCAAAGCCAGTGAGGCTTATGAATTTAACAGGCCAGAAAGAGATGAAAATTTTTTTTTTGAAGTATTTTTGCTGTAATTTCAGCCTCTGAAGCCCACAGCTGCTCTTGTTTCAATGGGAGGAGAATTTACATGGGCTACAGCTGGTCATGAATTTTTCAGTTTGCAGCCTTTTGTAGAAGATTCCTCCTGTCCAGGAGAAGTTCCCGATGAGAGGGGGGCTGACCCCTGCCCACCCTGTGCTCCTGTGTAGGTTGCTGGGATCCAGACCCCAGTTCTGGGTCAGGACTGGGAGCGGTGGAACTCAAGTGTCTCTGCACCCTGGAGGAATGATCTCCCTCCAGCCAAGGCCGATCCTTAGACAACCTTGGTGTCCACCAAAAGCTGCCCGGCTCAGCCCTGGGACCCTTCCTTCACATGGGAGAGGGCTGTGGCAGCACAGCGTGCCCAGTTCGGGCTTGCCTGAGCTGCAAGGGCTGCAACACCTTGTCCAACACCAAGCCAACACTGGCTCAAGGTTGCCTGTAGACAGCCTGCCTCGCACATCCCAAGAGATCAGTGTCTAAATGCTGTTCTTTAGCTCATGGCTTCACCGACCACTTTTGGACAATCTTTGGGGACTGTAGACTGGGAACTAATGGCCAAAAATTTACGATTTTGTCTTCTGTCAATCTCATTTTTATCAATGACTACAGAATTTTTGGTCTTCATCCTGGCATAGAATTAGTGAACGGGTGTTGAGAAGAGACAGTTTTGAGAAGCTTTAGAAGAGATGTAAACTCCTCTTTATGCAAGTATCCCACTTGTGGCCTCTGTAGGCAAGAAAAAAACCCACCATTTTAAAACAGCATCTGTGGTCTGGAACCGAATGTTGCTTGTCCTGGTCATTGAATTAGTGTGAACTGAAAGAGGAGGATGTCCCTGGGAAGTCTCTGGAGGTCTGGTGCGTTTTATGAGATAGCTCAGTCCACCGAGTCACGCAGGAGAGGACTCAGGTCATCAGTCATGGGTGTCAGCAATGTGCATATCCACCTCTGTGCAGCTGCTGGTTGTAGTGGGTTGTTACTGGCGTTTTTATGGTTTTGGAATGAAAAAATTCCCTTTAAAATGTCTTCACTTTTGGAAAATAATTACCAGAGTAAAGGAATTTATAATTGCCATATATGGCATTAAAAAATCCAAACCACCTGCTTGAGGAAATAGATGTCAGCAGATTGTTGCGGTTTCAAGCAACTGATCGTTTGACTCCTTAAAACTGCTTTTCACTGCTGCTAAAAGTTGTTTTGAAGGTGCTTTCTAGCATGTCCTCATCTTTCTTGAATACAATTTCAATGAAAGCCATCCGTGTTGAGTGCACGAGTACAGCCACCTTTCCTGGTGAGCTCTGCTTGTTGCTGTTCATGGGGGACTTTTTTGCAGCCGTTCCAGCAGTGTGCTGCTGATGGTGGCTTGAGTTGTTCTCTGTATCTCTGCTAGTGGCATTTATTTTTTATGGAGTGTTTCCATCCAAAGTAATCAACTATTTCTAAGAGAGGGTGATAAATGCAAGATCACTATTCAGGGGCTCTTGGATGAAGTGTGAGCTATTCAGATTTCTGGAGAAGTTCCCTGAGTCATCCAACGTAGAATCCTGGCTGCCGCACACATGGTTCTCAGTTTGGGGGAGAGATTTATCCATCCTCTGCTCACTTGTACAGGCTTTTAACAATCTTTTTTGGTGCTTGCTCAGATCAGGTGGACCAAAACAGCAGGAAGTGCCTCTGACCGATTTCAAGACTCGAGTGTCTTCAATGAAACCCTGAGGATATCCAACATCCAGCGACACCAAGGAGGCCGCTACTACTGCAAGGCTGAGAACGGCTTGGGTTCTCCAGCCATAAAGTCCATAAGGGTGGATGTGTACTGTAAGTAAACCGCTTACGATGCTTTTGATTAACTTCTTATCATATCTGGCATTACAAACAAGTGACCAGCTTGCTGTGAAGTCTGGTTTTAAACAGTACTTCAGGGCAAATTCTGCAGCTTTTGGGAGTGTTTATGGTTAGAAGACTTGTGGCTGGACCCAGTGAGGTCAGGTGGGGCTGCTTGCAGATGGAAATATCTTTAAAGAAAATCTCAATACTTTGCTAATAAGGGTGAAGCTCAGGTACAACTCATCCTGCTCAGGTACCAGAGGAAGGTTTGTCTGCAGTTTGTGTAGGGTGAAGATCTAGTACATAGCACAGCCTTTAATCTCTTGTAATTTTGGCTGCGCTTACCCTTGAAACTGATATGGGAGCAAGTATTGATGTTTTTTGCTATTTTGCTTTAATTGCTGCTGAAAGATGTTGCCTTTTTTTTTTTTTTTTTTATGGTGATCTCTTCATGTGCCCGTGATACACAGTTTTAAAATCTGCACTTGAAATATTGGGCAGTGAAAATATGAAGTATTGGGATTGCAGTGCAGTTGGTCACCAAAGCTGACAGAAAAAGAGGAAACAATTGAAAATATCCTACTGCAATAAATGCACAAAACAGAATAATAAAAATATATATATATGGCTCTGACTTGCCTAGACTCCAGTGTCAGTGAGTGGGCTAGGCAGACAAAGCATGGCTCTCTGTGATCAGGTAGTTTATTGCTGTAGGTTTAATGGTAAACTTTGCATCTGACTCTGTAAATTATGTCACTAGACTCAGCTGTTGGAAAGAGAAGACCCAAATGTCTCCAACAACTGCGGTTTTGTATACATTTCAGATTAAGAAAAACTGTTCAAAATCTGTTTGAAATGCTCCAAAGATAGAAAGTCTTTGCAGTGTACATTTGGAGACTCTTCTAATGCAAATAGTGTTGTGTAAACAAATGTGTTTACATGCCAGATAGATACTTAAACAAATAGATAGAGCTCGAAGTTAGCTTTTTAAGTCTCCTGAGTCCTTCAAGGAGAAATATGACTGTGTTATGACTATAGAAGCACTGGGCTTGTGTTTCCCCAAAAGTACCCTCTCTGTCAGGTGAATCTCAGGATCTTTGTTAATTTAGAGACCCAAGTGGTGACAATTTTTGTGGGTTAGTTATGGGATTAGTGGAGGGGGGCAGCTGCCTTTTGGGAATTTTACTTGCCTAGTATGTGCACTTAGCTTCATGATGTGCTTAACGAGCTATAACATACCAATGTCAACTTTGTAAATCCTTTATGAACAATAGCTGAATTGGGAAGTAATTGCTCATTAACTTGTTGGAGTCCAATAAATGAACAGGCAGCTGCAATGACTGCATTTAAGCACGCCACGCAAAATATTCAGGGTTTGTAACGAGGCTGGCCCGAGGTTTGCAGCGAGGGGCGAGGTGGATGCCTGGTCCAGGCAACATCAGGGCTGAGCGGTGCAAGTCGTGGTCCCAGCACCCAGGTCAGGTGGGGGCTTGGGCTGCCCCAGTGAGCCCCCGAGTCCCCCCCACACACCCGGCTGCTGAACGCACTTCGCAGGTCAGCCCTGCGTAGCTGTTCAATAAAAGCCTCAGGAGCAAACATTTAAGTCTCTTCTGTTGGATGCTGTTAAAGCACTTCGCTCTTACCCCAGCATCCACGCATTAGATTCTCCTTAATTCTTAATTTTAGGCATGGCTGTGAAACTGATGTTGGCAGGAAAGTCAGTCTAAAGGCTGGGATGCTACATAGTCTGAAGAAGAAGGGTAGGGAAAGATCGTTCTGAAATTCTGTTATTTCTTGAATTTCATTGAGACTTCCTTCTGGTATATGTCTTTTGGCTTGTATCATTTTGTTTAGCTATTAATATGTGTTCGTAGATTTGCTGTCTGGGATTTACTACAGGTTTAATTTTGTTTTTTACATCATATGCTCCTTCTTAATATAGCTCAAATACAGACAGTGTCTTTTGGGAACGTGACAGACTTCAGGTCCTAGCTGTGATTAAATCCTGGGTGATCTCCCTTCATAGGCAGGCTGATATTTCACTGGGTATTTTAATCTGTTAATGATCAAATATTTGCAGGCAGATAGTACTGCTACAGTAAGCTTAAGGTGACAGCAAAGATTGGATCTAGCTGTGAAAAAGATAGGAGAAAAAACCCTGTACCCCACAGAAGAGCTCGTAAGAAGTCAGTGTTGGAAATTGAAATGTTCCTGTTGAAATTTCCAAGTAGGTTAAAATAATTTATCTTTTTTTAATTGAAATTTTCTGTTTTGATTTTTTGTTTGTTGAATCTTTACTGTACAGATAGTATGTTGTGTGTGTCATGTCAAGATCTCTGGGAAGTAACTGAGCAGGAATATTGGGGTGGGTGTGCTTTCTCAAGTAATTGCATCATGAGATGATTTTGCTCAGAGACCCCAAAACAAATCATAAGGATCACGAGTACTTAGCCGTAGTGAATGCCTATTTACTGAAATCACATAGAGAAAGACAGTTTTCTTATAAATTTAGGTAACTGTCAAAAACTAACCTGTGGAAACCAGATGATATTCCCTTTTGAAAGCAAAACTTTATTATTAGAGCAAGAAAGAAATGTTTTTAATTTTTTGATGAAACCCTCAAATGTGTTTAAGGAAACAAGTAAAATGTTTATATTTCTTAAAAACAGTATGACTGAAAAATCACTTTGGAAGCATCTTGGCTTGCAAAGGTAAAGAGAGATTAGAATATTAAAGTAATGTTGTGTGTTAGTTTTGGATCAAGAGCACTTCTGAAGAGCTAATTTCACTTTTCAGCTTCCAATTTAAGTCTTCAGCCTCTAACTTAAAATCTGAAAAGGTACTATATCTGTGTAGCTTGAAAACGAATTGTTGAAAAAAATCCACAGAAAATCTTTGTTTCCTCATTTCTCTCCATCATTGACTTGCTGGCTGGTTGGGAAATTTTAGTATCAAGATTTGGATGGGAAACCTCCATCTCCAGTCACTTCCTGTTTTTCATCTTCCAGTTAGCTCTGGCATTCAGCAGCACTTGGACCGACATTTGCTACTACTGAAATAATTAGTTATACAGATGTAAGTAGTGAACAAGCCAGAGTGTTGGGCTGTGTGACAGGAGAGGGGGGCAGTTATATTATTTTTATGGTCTTTCTGCAGTCTTGAAAATGCTTTTAGTTTTGTTTTTTCAGGAAGGTTCCATCAGAAGTTGCCAGATGCTTTGAATGGATCTGCACGTGCTAGGCAGCTTATCTGTTAAAGAAATCTCAAAATACCATTATCTCATGACCTCAGATGACAGTGATCAGATCTGAGCGCTTGGTCCTAGGTGTTCAAGAGGTATTTGATGCATCTTTTGTAAAGAAGATCTAAACTAAAGCTCTTGGGTGGCTGCAGAGCATTTACAGAAACCCGTCTGTGGTAGAACACCAGTGTCTGGTGCCTGGCCGGATCGGTGTGTTTTGGGTTTTGCCCATGATGTGTGTGGGAATCGAAGGAGTGAACTGCAGCCCTCCGAAAAACTCCATCCCTGCCTCTCACCCAGCGCTCGTTTGTGTTTAGGGCCATCTGCAAAGATTAGATGCTGGGTCTCAGTTCACACAATGCGTAGCAGGATCCAGACAGGCACATTCATTCAGTATTTGGAAGCAAATAATAGTGTTCATAGACAGATGCATCTTATTCCTTCCTCTCTGTGAGTTCAATGCAGGTATAATGGCTACTTGGTATTATTTGGCATACCCTGTAATTCTGGTTTCTCACTTTCTAAAAATTATTTGGCTATTAGTCTGAATTATATGTTGCTCGAGGGCATAGTATTTTTTTCTGCTCTTAGTTGAACAAAACCCCAAACATTTTATAATTACGTTCATGGGTGAGGAACACAGCTAAGGAGTTAAAATAAACACATACAATCATTTAAAAAATAGCCAGGGGTATAAATCCTCTGCTGGACTGAAGGGAGAAAAGTGCTTTGTGAAGGAGTAGTGCATGAGTAGTTTATGTTGTTTACAGACAAGCATGTAACTGTGTCTTGATGGGCTGGTTTTACTTGTTCACATCAGACATGCCTGCTAGATGACTAAATCTCCGAGAGCTCAAGGAAGTTCCTTCAGGTGCATCATTCCCATCAAGCTGCAGTTAGTCATGACACTGCTTTTAGTGACGTACCAAGGAGGAGAGGGAATTTTGCTGGCAGTTCTGCGGGTGATGGTGTTAACGTACCTACTTTATTTAAGGATATCATGGATTATGCCAAACTATGCTACAATCTTTATGCTACAGTCTCTTCTGTTTCTTTAACATATGCAGGTCTAAGTGATGCCTTTGAAAACCAGCAGTCCCTTTTGGTCTGGTGTCAAAATACTTGAATGTAAAAAAAGTGAAGGAAAAAAAAAAAAAGGTGGTTCAGTGTTGCCAGAGTTCTCATGTCATTTACAGCTATTCTTGGAAGGAGCAAGGGGTCTATGCCTGTTCGTGGGCAGGCACAGAACCTTCATCCAACACTTTGCAGTTCATCTTGGTTTTCTTTCTAGAGAACAAGTCCTGTGAGGAGCAGCTGAGGGAGCTGGGGATGTTTAGTCTGGAGAAAAGGAGGGTCAGGGGAGACCTTATTGCTCTCTAAAACTCCCTGAAAGGAGGATGTACAGAGGTGGGGGTCTGTCTCTTCTCCCAAGTAACAAGCGATAGGACAGGAGGAAACGGCCTCAAGTTGCACTGGGGGGAGGTTTAGATAGGACATTAGGAAAAATTTCTTCACCGAAAGGGTTGTCAAGCACTGGGACAGGCTGCCCAGGGCAGTGGTGGAGTCACCGTCCCTGGGGATGTTTAAAAAGATGTGGAGATGTGGCACTTAGGGATGTGGTTTAATGATGGACTTGGCAGTGTTAGGTTAACTGTTGCACTTGATGGTCTTAAATGTCTTTTCCACCTAAGCAATTCCATGATTCTTTGCTAGTTTCTTTTAGAAAAATCTCCTTTTTGCTTTCTAGAGG